AGCCGCCTTAACTTGGTGACACGCATGTGTGTTTATAGCTGTTTTAAAAATGTTTTCTTCTGCCTCCAAAAATCATAATAGTGATAGGAAGAAAAATAATGCTGAACAAAAATTGGAAGTATCAAACGTGTTTGCCACAGATATTATTTTCTGCTATATTAAAAAAATCCTATGGGGAAATCCCATTGCTTTTTGTCGAGGGAGCCCTTGGAATGCTAACTTCGGGTTGCTTTACAAAAATACTTTATCATTGCACCACTAGAATTGACAATAACAAAAACAATTAAAACTGCAGTCACAGAAGTGCGCGCAGTGATGAGCGGGCCCTCGCGTCCGTGCACCTGTCGGGGAGGGCAGCCGGTCGTCCCGGCGTCAAGCAGACGCGCGCGAGTCCTCCGAAATGAGCCGTTTGTCATTTCCATAATTTTCGCATCCCAGGTCCTCCGGCGCCGTCTCGAAGGAAAACAAATTTCTCTAAAGGCTCGTCGAGGATCGATTATCGAGGAGGCTGTCTGGAGGTGCCGTAACCGAGGATACACTGATTTAGAGGAGAGAGGAGTCTCTCTGGAGGAGCTATAACCGAGGGTACACTGATGTAGAGGAGAGAGGAGAGAGGAGAGAGGAGTCTCTCTGGAGGAGCTATAACCGAGGGTACAAAGATGTAGAGGAGAGAGGAGAGAGGAGAGAGGAGTCTCTCTGGAGGAGCTATAACCGGGGGTACACTGATGTATTCTCCGGAGTCGATTTCAGCCAACAGTGATGTTTAAAAGAGGCGTGGCGCATGGCTGGACTTATGTCAACGAAGCACAGCTCTGCAAACTGTTCCCGTTGTGATTATAAGTTATTTAAGATGATCAAATGTGCATCAGACTTTCTGCCCTTTACCGTTTGTTTACTCACTAATCACATGTCCCCTGGATGTTAGGCAACATTTTTTTGAATACAACTGCTTTCATTGTGACGCCATGTTTACAGTGAGAAAAGCTGCTGAGGTCAGTGCAGAAAGCAGAACAGTGTGTATAATATATATCGCTCAATAATATATGTATCAGGCCTACATTTCACCCTTTATTTGTAGGCTTTAGGAGATATCTACAAATAAACAGTAGATATTTTTCATGAAACCATATAGTGCTTCACATAATAAAATATACAAGGGCTGTAGCCTGATATTTATTATATGCTTTAGGAGCTGTTTGTGTTTGTTGTACAATGTGTAGGTGTGGTTGTGTGTGTGTATGTGTGTATGTGTGTGTGTGTTTGTGTGTTTGTGTGTGTGTGTGTGTGTGTGTGTGTCTGTTTGTGTGTGTGTGTGTGTGTGTGTGTGTGTGTGAGAGTTGATGTGCCAGGCAGACAGGCAGGTCATAGTACTTATCCGACATATAAATGGTCCAAAATGGTATGTTCTCCGTTAGTTTACGAGTTCCTCGTTGCAGCTAGCAACTATTTTCTTCACAATTTAGCATCACATTGGATATGGGCTCAATTTGTGCTGGATTGGAATATTTCCGATCATTCCCCTAGGAGGAGTTTGCAAAAATGTGCTTAAAATGCATGAAAAACGCACATTTCTGAAAATGGCCAACTTCCTGGGGGGCGGGGCTAATGGAAGGCAATTTGAAATATGTGTTCAATCATAATAGCAATGGGTATACAGTGTTTCGTGAATATCGGAAAAACTATATGCGAGTAGTTTGGAGTAATTTGCAACATGTAAATTGTCACAAATGGTGTATTCGCTGTTAGCTTACGACCTCCACGATTGAGCTATCAAAATGTGGCTTCACAATTTAGCATCATATTGGCTAGGGGCTGAACTTGTCCTGGATTGGAATTTTTCCAATCATTTCCCTAGGAGGAGTTTGCAAGAATGTCCTTAAAATGGATGAAAAACGCACATTTTTCAAAATGGTCGACTTTCTGGAGGGCGGGGCTAATAAAAGCAAATTTGAAATATGTCCGCAATCATAAGAGCAATGTGTATACAGTGGTTCGTGAATATCGGAAAAACTATATCCGAGTAGTTTGGAGTAATTTGCGACATGTAAATCGTCAAACGCACATTTTTCAAAATGTGTATTTTTTGTCCTCGGCCGCCCCGTAGTTTCAGAGCGCATCGAGTTTAAAATACCATCTACAAGCTGATGCTGACAGCCCCGCTCCTGCCGCCCGCTTGCGGCAGACCACACTTCCACGCTCACCGGCAGGCCCGGACTGGCCATCGGGAGGACCGGGAGGGTGTGCGTATGTGTGGCGCGAGCGAGAGAGAGAGAACGCGCACACCTTACGCGTATTGTTGTTGTTAGCATCTGGTGCTAGCTAGCTGCGCTAACGGATATAAGGAGCTGTTTCAATGAAAACAGAAGAGCGACCTTTCGCCGACAACTGCGCCGAGCACTTGACTTTATGCAGGTAGCCAGACAGTGTACATTGTACGAAAAGCCAGCACACTCAGCACGGATAGTGCGCGCAACATGATTGCAGCGTCCAGGCAGCTCCCGTTTGAGCATATGCCTTGAGTTGCACATAGCTCCAACGATCCATCACAGTGTCTCTCCACACACACACACACACACACACACACACACACACACACACACACACACACACACACACACACACACACACACACACACACACACACACACACACACACACACACACACACACACACACACACACTTTGTATTGTATTATTGTATTGTATGAGAGAGGTTCCAGGTTGAATTGAGGCGAATATTTGTAATGTTCAGAGGTTGTGTTTAATATTCATGAGAATATTTGTCATTGTTCAATGATAATAAACAAACATTTGCATAAAGCATATTTGTCCACTCATATGTTGATAAGAGTATTAAAAACTTGAAAAATATCCCTCTAAGGTACATTTAGAACAGATAAAAAATGTGCGATTAATTTGCGATTAATCGCATTTTAAGGATCCGCGGGGACCCTGTTATAGATGTCTAGTTGAATCCAGGCAGTGGTCTCCGCATCGCCTTTTTGCTGACATGCGATTCTTGGTAAACATCCATGCAGGAATTACGAGAGGAAGTTGCGGTGAAACTTGGTAATGTGGTTTGCGTTCATTATTTTTTACGCTGACAGCTATAGCCAATTATGCATTATCAGTCAAATCTACCCCCCCCTTCTTCTTTCGTTGTTTCCACGTGTTGTTTTATGCATTTCCTGCTCAAGGAACATATTAGAACATAATATATGCAATAGTATGACAAGTGGGTACGTTGAAAAATGAAAACCCCATTTGATTTTAAAATACTTTATTTCATAAACAATATCTAAATTCAACTCGGTCCGTCACATACACAATAAGGATAGAAAATGCTTGAATTAGAATAAGAGAAAACAACAATAACTGGGCATTCCTTTCTGCTCTTTGAACGGCAGTTTACAAAGTGAGCTCATTGAGTGAAGATGATGGTGAAGATCTACAGAGTGGCCTTGTAGTTAGAAAACTGTGCTACACATGGAAGATTCAGGTTCAAGCTCCTGCCCTGCCGAGGTGTCTCTGAGCAAGACTCTGAATGTGTTCCAGCTGCGGGGATGATGATCTGTAGGTGAGTTTGTCCTCTGAGGTACTTTCATCATACAGTTATTCCTCAATATACTCAGACAGATCTCATGTATCCCCTGCTACAGTTGCTTTTATTCAAATCACAGAGAAAGACGGATCAATGCTCGTACCTACAACACATGCTGTCTTAGGGCCTGTGTCCACAGAGTGTATTTTTCTGAGCGCCTGCATCTTTTCCAAATGTTTCTATTAAGGTAGTGAGAGTTTGCCATTGCATGCAACGCCTCGTCAAAAAGCGTTTTTCCTGATTGTCCGCCGTGTGTGCGGCCGCTACGAACGCTTCGAGTTGTAAGTGTTTCAACTGCTCAATGTCGAACTGGAAAAGACTTAGCAGGTTTCCACTTCCGGTTCACTTGTCTAGAAATCAACGTTTTTATGTGTGTTTGTGGTTAGAAGTCTAATATAAGATCTGTCGTAAACACAAGCTGAAGAGATTTGTATGCTATGTTCTAAGACATGAAATATTTAAGTAAATACTCCACTCCGAAGCTTCTATACGTCATAAAAAAAGCAGTTGCTAACAAGTGACTAAATAAGACTACTAAATGTCATCACGCTAAACATGAGCAGCCTTTAGCTTAGCGGTGGTGATGCCATGCAACAAGGAAGTAGTTTGTTTATGGCCTATAGCTTTTGACTTCTGCCGACTGTATTTATGCTTAAAAAATCACAAAGTGGTGTTATTATGTGGAAATTATCCTGGTGAACAAAACATTTTAAGTATTATAAACGTGTGTTGGCCACAATATTTACTTCCTGCATTATACCCAAATAAAATGGGGATATCCAATTGGTTTTTCTCAAGGGAGCACATGCAATGCTAACTTCCAGGTGCTAACAGAAATACATCCTCACTGCACCACTTTATGGAGAAAACAATATGAAACACATATTTATAAGCACTTACAGATAATAAAATACAAATGGGCGATGCTAGTCGTGCTACGTTGTCAAGATATCGTTGCCACAGAAGAACGCTAAGAACCTTTTTTATTTTTTAAACGCAGGGAGGAGGCTCTGCCAGAAAAAAGGTGTGTGGACACAGGCCCTTATCATGGTGTGGTTATATTAGAATATCATATTTCATTTAAGGTAGATAAAGGAGGAAAACCATCAGTATCTCACAAATAGATCATAATAAATTAATTTCAATACTGAAAGTTAAACATGTTGGTCCATGGTGTAAATTGAGCTAAAAAAGATTCACATTTTCTCCCCATATTCAAACGAGGCTGGATAATTATTTACATATTGGAAGACCTTCACCTGTGTGGCTAGACTATCATAATTTATCTCTATTATATATTTATATATATATATATATATATATATATAGCCAAATATTGCAAATATTGTGCAAGACTCTATTTGTGCAAAGAATATGTGCTCCTCTACTATCAAAAAATTGGACAGGTGTTAGCTTTTAAGTTTTAGAAAAGTTTTCCCACAATAGAACAACACTAGGATGACACTAAGAAGGCATTTGCTGTATAGGATACCTTTTGCTTCTATTAGAAATGCCTTTAGTTAAATAATACACCAAAATGCACACGTCACAAAAGCCATTCACGTAATGTTAGAAAGAAAAACCCACAGGCCATGGACAGTGTGTGCCATTCAGTGGAAAATATCGTCTGCTCGGGTGTTTCCAACCAAAGCGTTCTGCTTTATGTACAGTGTTATCTGTCCATGCAGTCGTCCATGTATCCCTCGTTTCTGACTCACCAGTGAAGCTACGGTTGGCGAGGCGTTGAGAGGGGATGACTGAGGGGGGGTGAGCCGTGCTGGGCCGGACAGTGCTTCACCATGCTGTGCCTGAGACAAACTGTGCAAACGCTACTGTGCTCTTTATCCTCTGGGGCTACCAGCGCTGCAACTTTACAGTATGTACGGTACCACTTCAGAGGAGGCTGTGGATGTGTGTGTGTGTTTGGTTCAAATGTTGGCCAGGCAGTGATTTACTTGGGTCTAGCTACGACCGGTCTAACTGTAAACAAGACTTCAGTTTTTATTTACAGACAAGCATGAAACCTTCCTTCTTAAGGGGACAAAGTAGAGAAAAAAGCTTCGCCCCCATTGAGTTCATTGTTTGGCTTTGCAGCAAAAAACATTTTTCTATCTTCTATTTCCTGTCTTTCGATTGTAGACCGAAACAGTGGTGGTCTGTATTACCAGAGGCGTTTTCCCTTCTCTCCAGTTGCTGATAAATCAGTTGTTATGTTGAGGTAACCAAGGAGTAGATCATACTGAAACACAAGAAGAAGAACAAACAGGAAATGCCAAGTAAATAAACGCCCAGGCAGACAGAAGGGGACAAAGTGGTAATTAACAATTAAAATAATCTCACAACCTGAATTAAGATTAAAACACTTGACTACTGTGTGTGTGTGAGTGTGTTCAAACATTTCATTGATCCATAGTTAGTATTCCTGCTGATTCATCTCAACACTGCGGGCTCAGATTTAACGGAACGTCTGTTTATGTCCTTAGAAGTTCGAAGCTCCGGAGCGGACTTATTTATCTTAGCTGCTGACAGCAAACTTTTATATTTGATTTTCCTTTAAAGCTTTTCTGTCATGATCTTCATTTTCAGAGTAATGCTGCTTCGTCATCTAGATCAGGGGGCTGCTGTGTTTGTTGGGTTAGTTTAAGAGTACTAATGAAACAATGACATCCAATGGAAGAAGTAATCAGATTTTAAACTTACGTAAATGTAGCAGTACTAAATTGGAAAAATACAAGTAAAAGCCCTGCATTCAACATCTTACAAAAGGACTAGTACTACTCAACCCCCCATTTCAGAATCTTATATTAAATTACTGAATTATGACTATTAATGCATTAACGTGTCGATCACAGCTGATAAAGGTATTTTAATTACATGATATACTGCTGCTCCATACCTCAGCCTATAATTGAATGCCAATGTTTATTTAAAAAGGACATATTATGTTCCTATATAAAAAAACGAACAAGGAAAACCCTGAAAGACTGTCACTGTGGAAAAGTTGACACTGAATGCAAAGAAAAAGCTGATGAACATTATGAAATGCAATGAGCATGTGCAAAGCAAGCTGTGAAGCACACATCGCTGCAAAGTGACAAATATATAATCTTTTTACCAGCCATTGACAGAGATGAGCTTAGTTCCTAATGAGGTCAATATAATACTGTTGTTTTTGTATTACTAATAACACAGACTGTGAAGTTAACCTGAAAAAGAGATTGATTGCAGGACTGCATGAAACAATTACCAACAGCCTAAAGCACAGATTGGGGATCCAACACTTGTGTCACTGAGCTGAGACTTGACAAGAACAGATCAGCACTTCGCTGACAGTAACTGATGATTCCAAACATTTGTATTCATCCCTGAGGTCTTTCCGCGCTCTTAACACCTCTGATAATCTCTGCTGCTGAGGAGCCTGAAAATGTATTCTGTTGACTCACAAGTATCCATGGATAGAGAGGACGAGGGGAGAGGGTATATGAGAGGGGAGGGAGGGAGAGATCAAGAGTGAACGGCTCCTCAGAGACCTGACCTCCTCCGAGAACTGGCTTCATCATTAGTAGATGGACTTGTAGCTCTTTAAATTACAGCTCTTTTAGTTCCGCAGCCTAATTAGACATTAACTAAACATAATGTATGCTAAGATATTAACTTTTATATGAGATCCTGCATAAAAGAGGAAAACTGACACTTAAGGGGAAAAATAAAGCTGATTAATTAGCTAAATATTCCTGATTATTTGTTTTCGCTTTTGCACATACCGTACATTTTTATATTAGTAATAGCTATAACGTTCTTCAGAAAAATATATTATTCCTTTTCAAAGACTTATGTCACATTTGCATTTTCTTCCGTACACCAAAGGCTAAAAGAAGAAAAATAAAATCCATTTTGCATATATCTTCCATTCCATACAATTGTTGTTGAACAGTAAGCTAATTTGAAAGTGTGATAATACCATTTCACTTAATTTCAGATATTCTGATAACAATTTACTCAAAACAATACTACTGGTTAAAACATGTTTCTTTATTGCTTAATGCTGCTCTGGATGGCTAATGTGTAAGAAATGTGATTATATACATTATTTTCCCCTTTCTATAGCATCATATTACTTCGCATGGCTACATATACTCAGTAGTTGTTATCATTATTGTATTCCATCAGTGTATATATGCTTTCTGTACTTACATCATTTGTGCACTATCTTTAGAATGCTGCAATGAGCTAAATCCTCATGATAGCATGCTAACACTGATACTGATATAGCCAGTCTCACGGCATTTCGTGTTATAGTCACGACATGTAATCTATTGATTCGTGTTCACCAACACAATTTTCCCCTTTTCTTCGTGTCACACAGAACGATTTTAAAAGCAATGTATTTCTATTGGTATGTGTTTCGTGCCTGCACCACGTCTTTTTGTCCGGTCGGGTCTTGGAAGACCGGAAGCTGTGGGGTTCATAAAAACATGTTCTTGCTCAATATCAAGCCACGATTATTGTTTTTATTTAAAATCGTATAATGTCGGACTTTTTTTGCCGTCCTTGAGGAAAAGAAATGGGGCTCAGAGCCTCAGAATACTGAAATCTGTATTTTTTAAATCTTTTTTTCCTTCTAATTTGTTATTCTTTTCTAAATAACACACAATTATCCTTGTTTTTATTTATTTGTTTAATTCTATAATCTCTGGCTTTTTTGGCGTCCGTCAGGAACTGAATTTCCTCAGCTATGGATTAAGCTCAGTGATTGGATTGTTTAGCCGCAATGCACGTTGGGATATGGTGTTAATGCGATATGAAATCCGAAAAACATTTAAAAAAAGAAAAAATAATACTTTATTCCGAGTGTACTTGCTTTTCTCTTTGGAAGTCATCACATAACGGCATTGTAATACACGTTTCGGCTGCATTAAATATTACACATCTGCCGTAGTTCTCTATGTATAGAGCCCTGATTAGAAGACTTCTAGAATAAATACATATATCAGCAATTAAACAACATCTTCAATTTCTCTTCACACAATACGTCTCCATGCAGTATCAACACTAATTCGGCTGACTTTTATATTTGATCCTATTGGTAGATAGGTTATATTTACACCATAACGGTGCACAGCTGATATAAAAGGACTTGTAGTTTTTAAAGATATTACTTATTTTCTTTGAATATAAGAATGTAAATACTGAGTTGAGAGAATAGTCAGGGGTTTTGGGTGATGGGAGACACATCTATGGATTCAGAAAGACCTTTCTGTATGTGATGTTTTACAAATCAGATATTAATGTGTAGAAGTAAAACATGTATAGCTATATAGCTGTATAGCAATATCCTGTAAAATTATGTGAAAACATGAATAAAACTACAGATGTTATACATACATAAGTGTCCTACACTAATAATAAAAAGTTATTATGGCATTGCATGCTGTGTGTACCTTGTATGCACCGCCGAGTGGTTAAAGCACGTTATTGAATAATTGTTTGAATATGTTATATTTGATGAAAAAAATATTAAGAGTACATAGGGGGAAAGTAGAAGGTCAATGATAGAAATATAGAATATAAAAAATCAAGAAGATAAGTGATCTGTACTGTGATACTGTAAGTGATCTCTACAATAAAACAGTTTAGTGCCGGATGTACAAGGATATTAATAGGAGGATGTGCAAAACAGAAAAATGAATTAACCTTTATTTAAACATTAAAGAATGCTTTAGCTTAATGTCTTCTTTTAAATAAGAAAAAAGCTTTGGGGGTATCTACAGATAAATATTAAGCCTGACAAAGTACTTCACGTCTAATATATTGCTTTCCTGCAATGTTATCTATGTTGAAGCACTTATTTTAACTGATATTATACATATGAATTATACTCTTATGTATGTAGATAGTATAAGAAATGTGCAGAATATGACAGTTTAATGGTGGAGGTATACACACATATTGATAGATGTCTTGTAATGCACTGTTGAGGAACCTGCGACCCAAGTTTTTCATTCATTGCATAACTACACCGTAGTTGTGTATATGATATGTCAATAAACCTTTGAAAATCTTGAACGGTATGTGCAAAATAGCCATTATATACAGTCTTTAATTAACTATTAGTAGAGAATAACGAGTAATGAATATACTTTATAGGGATCTGCAGATAAATGTTTAGTCTTCTCAAGCACCAACTATCAAATATCTCGCCTGATTGTTGGCATTTGACAATCACCTTCCCTGAATTTTACTCAGGTGTAACTAAAGCCTGATTTAAGGGTTGTTTATATTTCACATCATTAATAAGAATCTGCAAAGTAACTAAAATAAATGTAGTGGAGTAAAAATACCAGGTTAACCTCTGAATTGTAGTGGAGTAGAATTACAAAGTAACAATGAGCTGTCATGTGGGTATATATTAATGCTGCCCATTATCGACACAAGCAACTTTCACCCAATTATTATTTATATGTTTTAAATGTGATAACACCAATGTGTTTAATAATGGCAACTTCTAATTGTGGTAAAAACGAAAACGTTCCCAGTAGAGACGTCCCATAGACCATTTTGCGAAGACACAATAGCCAGCATGTGTAGTTCTGGGGGGGGGGGGGGGGAATAGTCTCCCGTGGTTTCGTTCCATTTCAAAGAGCTGTTTGACGCTCGGCGTAACCTTGGCGCACTGCCAGTCCAACATCCAATCCCAGAGCTTGAAGATTAATCACGGGGTTTTCAAGCAAGGGGACTGTAGTCCCAAACGATAGCTGAGGATTATGGGTAGTGTAGTGTCTTCGGCCATCCTAAACTCTGAAATGTTTTTCGGATTTCATATCGCATTAACACCATATCACAACATGCATTGCGGCTAAAACATCCAATCACCGAGCTTAAACCATAGCTGAGGATCTTGGGTAATCAGTTCAGTGGGTGTGTATCGCAATGATGCTCGAAATGTCCCTTATAGGCCGACGTCTGTTTCCAGTTATTTTATTTTGAAATTCAGTTCCTGACGGACGCCAAAAAAGCCAGAGATTATAGAATTAAACAAATAAATAAAAACAAGGATAATTGTGTGTTATTGTTGAGTAAATAACAGTGTGTTATTTAGAAAAAAATAACAAAAAGGAAAAAAAGATTTAAAAAATACAGATTTCAGTATTCTGAGGCTCTGAGCCCCATTTCTTTTCCTAACGGACGGCAAAAAAAAGTCCGACATGCTCCGGCGTGCTAATTTGTGTTAGTTAGCACAGCATGTGTTAGTAATGCAGGTCATAAACCAAAGTATTGGACAAAGTGAAACCCTTATGAAAGGGCTAGAAGAAAAGTAACATTACATTAAATAATTAATTGTTCCTGAGGTGAATATGAATGTGCAAATACATTTTTTATGGTAAAGATGTATTGGTTGTTATCCATAACCTAAACCTCCCTGAAGATCCCAATTCAGAACAGTTGATAGACGTATTGAGATATATGCAAGATAACTGAGTTATTCAAATTACTGTGATTGATCATTCCTTCGTTTTTGTCAAGAAAAGACTTGCTACGCTATTGCTCATGATTGAACTACAAAAACAGCCAATTCCTAATCGTACAATGGTGTTTTACGGTGTCTTTGGCAAGTTTATTGCTTCATTTGGTGAAATCTGAAATAATCTGCTGCCAGTCATCCAATGCGAGGGTCCAACAACATGGACATAAAAAAGGAGTCCTGGACTGCCAATGGTTGTAATGAGCCAAACTCAACGTGTTTTTTCTACCAACCTAGAAATACCAAAAGTGGCATACATTTATATTTAATCTGGTCCATTGGCAAACACATACACTTTATTGAACATTGTGATACAAGCGAAAACAATGCATGAACACATTTGCTTCTGCTTCACCTGTAGTACTGTATGTATTGTGTTTTGATGACCGACCACATGTTGTTCCAGAGGACAGTAGTTGTACCAGTGAGGAACAACATATTCTTACCCAAATTTGCCCTTTAAATCCCTGCATGTGTGTATGTGTGAACCAATAGAGGACAGATGTTCATGCCCTAAAGGTGTGAAGAACAACAAGTACTATACAAAGGTTAGACCTGTAAACACACAGCAGGATAGCACGTGGATACAACATGCTGAGGACCATTTTAGACCACAGGGGTAAACAGGAATCGTGTACACATCTTGCAGGGGAAAGTACTCGTCACGTTTGACAAATAATCCCTGTGACAGAAACCACAAGTTTAGGATAGGAAAGGTGAAATGTTGGGAGGGTAAAAGTAAAAGGTCACATTCTGAGAAGAGATCCTGAGTCAGTCAGGTTTTCTTTATTATCTTCAGGTGTCAGAGTAGCTACATTTAGGAGGAGAGAGCAGAGAGCTCACCTGGGGTTCTCTTCTAGTATTTGTATTTGACACAATATGAAACAGAGTGGTGCAGCTATGACCTATTTTTGTAGGCCGACTGAAATTTAGTAGGTTCCGTTGTTAAGAAGCAATGAGATTTTTCTAGTGGATTATGGATTACTGCAGAAGAAAGCTCTTTGGTAAACACGGGTTTATGATCCTTACACGTTTTGTTCAGCAGGATCATTTACACATATTTACAACACTTTGAAGTAAAATGCTAACGTTAGGCTACAAACAAACTATATAACAGTCGCATGGCTACGTATCACCACTGCTTAGCTAAAGGCCGCTAATGTTCTGCGTGATGACATTTTGTAGTCTCATTTAGTCATTCATTAGAAATAGATGTTTTTTATGACACATAGACACTCAGGGTATTCACCAGTGAGGTATTTAATGATGTGATTTATGTCCTTGAACAAAAATCACTTACAGACTTTATTTCAGGCATCTAACCAAAAATATGTTTGAAGGAACTGGAAGTGGCCATGCAGTTTTATGACTCATTCCTGCACCACTCTATTGTGCATAGGTTTCTTATCATTCCACATGAAGCCGTATGGGAAACCATCTAAAAAATCAAAAATTAAGCCCAGGTCTTTGAGCCTGTGCAGCTTTTCCTTCGGCCTAAAAACCCAACAGTTTTAGATTCCAGTGTACATTTGCTCCACTAAGCTACTAAAATGATTTGAAATCACACTTCACCCGGGCGTGGAGGTGAGTGCTCAGGTGGAACTGTGTGTTCATCTGTGTGCCTGAGGGGGCATGCACACGTTCATAATGTGTATACATGAGGTTGTGTGCCCGTGTGGGTCTGTTTGTATTTGGTGTGCACAGTTTTGTAAAGGATATTTAGAACACAGATGCAGGTTAGAGGAGTGTAGAAGGGTCAGTGTGACAAGGCAATAACACAGAAAAAGCCCCAATAAGCAGGTTTCAGGCCAATTCGCTTTCATTATTACCAGTTTCTATACATCACTATACTGTACTCATCCACAATTTAATATGAGTTTACTGTTTATACTGACCACCAAGATCTATACCAAATTGATGTTGCTTTTCAGCCATTGCGTGTCAATAGAATGACCACGTTAGGACCATACATAAAATCATAAGAACCTAATTTAGCAGACAACTGAACATGTTACTGTTTTAAGATTTTCCTACAACCTGAGATGTGATTGTGTACATTTTCTGTTAGTTATAATAACTTAAATCACCAATGCAATTGCTTTAAAAAATCGGGATTTATGACACCATTGCATTTTTACGAGGTATCACCTCAGTTGAAGATATATAATATAAATATAAAGTAAACTATAATAGAAAAAGAGGTACAAGCATCAGCACTACACTATGAAAGCCAGGTATCCTTTGTTAAACAAGCCAATATTTTCAAAATAATTTCATGGTTATAGTATATTTGACTCTGATAGTGAAATAAAAGTGAATGAACCATCGCCCTGCTTTGTAGAGTACTGTACCTCGCTGCTGCTGCTGCTGCTGTGGCCAGGGTTCTCTAGCACAGCATAAGCTAGAGCCGACAGGATGAGTGAGATGGAGAAGCAAGATGGCACAAGTTAAAGAGTATGGTTTACAACTACATACACCCATGTCAACATGTTCAATGAAATATTCTCAAAACTATTTTGAAATGCTTATAGGAAAGTTATGTTAAGTATAATTTGTAGTTTTATAGAAATCCACCTTTAACTTCACCTTAAAAGTGTTTGTGTTTTGAACCTACTAATCAGGAGACTATCTCCTGATTCATTGGTCTGAAAATGGATGAAATACATATCGGTATTAAACAAGCTCTTTAATGTTTTCCACTCTTATATACCAGGGGTAGCCAACACGGTGCCTGCGGGCACTTAGTCGCCCGCAGGGGCAACGTGAGTCGCCCGCACTTTTCTGCGGGGGACATTTATCATGCGGATTATTGAAAAGTATACAGCTCCCTTTCATCTGAGTGTTGAGAGCTGTATCCATCAATTCATGTTGTGCTCAAAGTGCACCAGATTGATGCATTTCACTTCAACATTTAAAAAAAACATCTTCCCGGGGGTGCATGCCCCCGGACCCCCCTAGAGAATGTGAGGTCCACCCCCAAATAAAGCAGGTTAAAATAATTAAATTGAATACATTTTATTTTAGTAGACACTGAAAACGGGTCCCACAGACCCAAACAGCACATAAAGGTTAAAGGTCAGCATATCATAATGTTAAAATGTGCTAAATACATACACTGCAAAAAAAAGGAGTAAAAGTAGCTAATGACTTGTTTTATTTTTTGAAAGTAGCTCTCATCCTAAAAAAGGTTGGTGACCCCTGCTCTATACCATGCCAGAAGGAAGCATATTATAAACTCCATGTCTATACTTTTTATGATTCCTTAAAGAAATGTTAAAGAAAAATATGCCTTGTGATTAAAAAATAAAGGGGATTTCCAGAAATATTGGAACCTGAACACGTTAATATAGCTGTGACAACAAGGTGTTTTTACCAGGGGGATATGGTTTGGGTATATTGCAATAAAGAAAATTGGAATTAGTCCGAAAATATCTCAGAAAATGTAGCTATTATCAAGAAACAGCACCTCGTCTCCCTGGTATATCTTGATCTACTTGTAATTAAAACCAAACACTGGCTCCATTGCTCATGATGTTGCTTTTCTTCCTGTGTGGTAAAGCTGTGATAAACATATTGACATCACTATTAACAAAGTACCTACCTTCATAAAAAGACAGCTACCGCACATTTGCAAGGATAGGACTGGCCAGCATGTTTCAAGTGTTTACTCACAGCCTTATCACGCATATAAAAGAACAACTCCATGTTAAAGTTGCAATCCTTTTTGGGATAATTAGTCTTCAAGAATTCTGTGCTGATGCTGCCATGTTTGGCCACAACAAACTATAATCTGTAACCAACACGGCTCCACAAAAATCCACTTAAATCTTGTATCCATATAGTCACAGCAGCCTTTCATGACATGTAAGCTTAGACCCTATACAGATCAAGATCAACTGTGTCCATATGGAAGATCATTTGGTTTAATAGTTTTTTGTTGAGAATAAAGCCATTCTGTCTTTACTACCACAGAATAAAAGGTAAAAAAAAGGATTGTACCTTTAAGTGTTTCCATTGAAAAGTTCTATTAGACGGATATATCCAGGTTCCACACACTGCAGCAACCACATGACACAAGGAACAAGAATCCGGAGTGATTAATAACAGCATTATTAGACAAGAAACAGGAACATTATGCACTATTATCATCGAACATTTCATCAAAAACATTAATGCAACCATTTTTTACCAATGTATAGTAGTTTTATCCCTCTGGTAGTGTTTCTCAATGAAGTAAAGAATCAAATTCTCGTAACATCACATGCATTAGCAGTAGTGGGCCTTATAGTAAACCTAGTTAGCCTGACAGAGCTACAGTATGTGCAATAACTTGCATGTGATTGCCAGAGAAATGGTTGCTTTATTCAATGATTTGCACTCACTTTGCTTTATCAGAGCTGCTAAAACAAACCAAGTGAAATAGAAATAGGGTTTGAAAAAAAAAAAAAACATTTGAGTGCTCTTTATCACAGTTTCATAGATGTTTTACTCTAGCTGTAATAATTAAGATTAATGTAATGTCTTTACATGTAATCCAATTATCGTCCAACACCGCCCACCACATGCTCACCAGTAGAGATAGTAGAAGAAGGATAGGACGAAGAAGGACAGCTTGCACCAGGCCTCCTTTATGCAGAACTTGAGCGTGTCTCCGTTCATCACGGACGCTGGGTCGTAGAGCAGCTCCTTAGTGTCCGTTGGCGAATGGAAGTACCTACCACAGAGGGCAAAGACCACATCGCGGGTAGTTGACCCGTTCCAGACCCCAGGGAGGGGGGGGAGGGGGAAAGATAGGAGGTTGGAGGTAGGCGGGGGAGATGATGGGAGGAAATGGGGAAGGAGATAGTATGGAAAAAGATGGCATGATGAGTTATGGATTTACCATCATGCAGCAGACATGGTGAAAATGAAGTTGAATCTGTTCGTAACCCCCTTTCCAGAACACTTCCAATAGTCCATGGTTTAGCAACAGTGACTATGCACTGACTGTCAAGCTCGAACTCTCCACATTCTGAAGCAGGTTTCTGAGTAAAATGGAATCAATGAAATTGTGTCGTAATCTGCCCTAGCATTGGCTGTTATGCTTACTAGCTTGCAATCTTCTTTAGTAGCCTATTGCTGTGTGTTTTGCGTTTTACATACATTCACTGTTTTAGTTAAGTTAAAGGTCCCATGACATGGCCATTTTTACTGATCATAATTCCATTGTTGAGGTCTACTAGAATAGATTTACATTGTTCAATTTTCCAAAATCACATTGGTTTTCTCATACAGCATCTCTGTATAGTATGTGTATTCACTCTCTGTCCTACACGCCTTGTTGGAGCTCCTGCCCCCCCCCCTCCCTATGAGCCCACTGTGCTCTGATTGGTCAGCTCGCCCACTCTGTTCTGATTAGTCAACTACCGTTACCGCTGGACATCAGTGTTTATGTGTTACAATGGCGTTTCTTAGCAACCAGAAAATGACAGCAGTAATGACAAACAGATGAGAATGCTGCGTGGGGTCTGGGTGCCGTGTTGGCGGGACGTTGCGGGGCTCGCTGCTCCGCCCTTTGAGGCTCGAGTAGCGGACAGTGTGAGCTGGATTACTGGTGTAGTTTCCTGGTTGTTGCGTGGGGTCTGCGAGACAGCGAGACACTGCGGAGCTCAGCCTGAGGACACACTCACAGCCTGAGCTCCGAGTGTGTGTGTGTGTACGGAGCTCCGCGCAGCACCGCAGCTGAGAAAAGATAAGGCTGAGTGAGTGTGTGTGCGGAGCTCCGCAGCGTTACGTCACTATTACCAGGAAGAACAAAATGGAAAAAGAAAAATCTCCAACGAGACGTTCTGGGGCAGCATAGACAGGTATTTTCTGTGTTAGAGTTTTACTCGCTACATAACACACAAGGGGACGGGTAATAACCGGAGAAGCATGTCATGGGACCTTTAAGTGTACCTAATGCAAAGTATGACAAAATGCGCTAAGAGTACCCAGATGGATCACTCATAAAAGGTGAAAACGTTGAGTGTGGAACACTGGACTCGTCTCGCACTTAACAACCGCCATCTTACCTAAGTAGCGGAAGTCACAGGACCAGCTGCGATTGTGCGGGAGTTATACAAGTAGGCTATTTGTTTTCACTATGTAAGTAATATACCACTATACAAGTGTACTGAAGCTACCATTTATTTTATAGGGTTAATTTTAGCAACCTTTAAAGATTTGGTACCACAAACAATTGTTGCTAACTAGCTAGCTTGCAATCGTCTCATCCGATGAAACCACAGCTGTGTGCGATTTAAGACAACACTGCATGGTCAAAATGTACACACTACACAAAGGTTGACATTGTACGACATGGCAGTGTACTTAGGGAAGTATCCAAATTGAGACGCAGCACTTGCGTTATTGTTAAAGCCTAGAATCTTATCATAAGCTAATTATGCTAATTTGTATGGCAGCAGCCACAAAGCCTGCTTTACCTGTCCAAGCAACCCAGTCTCACGGCATTTCGTGTTATAATCACGACATTTAATCTATTGATTCGTGTTCACCAACACGATTTTCCCCTTTTTCTCGTGTCACACAGAACGATTTTAAAAGCAATGTATTTCTATTGGTAGTATGTTTCGTACCTGCACCATGTCTTTTTGTCCGGTCGGGTCTTGGAAGACCGGAAGCTGTGTGGTTCATAAAAACATTTTCTTACTCAATATCAAGCCACGATTATTGTTTTTATTTAAAATCGTATAATGTCAGACTTTTTTTGCCATCCGTGAGGAAAAGAAATGGGGCTCAGAACCGCAGAATACTGAGATCTGTATTTTTTAAATCTTATTTTCCTTTTTGTTATTCTTTTCTAAATAACACATTGTTATTTACTCAACAATAACACACAATCATCCTTGTTTTTATTTGTTTAATTCTATAATCTCTGGCTTTTTTGCCATCCGTCAGGAACTGAATTTCAAAATAAAGTCACCGGAAACAGACGTAGGCGATACACACCCACTGAACTGATTACCCAAGATCCTCAGCTATGGTTGAAGCTCAGGGATTGGATGTTTTAGCCGCAATGCACGTTGAGATATGGTGTTTATGCGATATGAAATCCGAAAACATAAAAAAAAAAATAATAATAATACTTTATTCTGAGTGTGCTTGCTATTCTCTTTGAAAGTCATCACATAACGGCATTGTAATACACGGTTCGGCTGCATTAAATATTACACATCTGCCGTAGTTCTTTATTTATAGAGCCCTGATTAGAAGACTTCTGGACAAACTGGAAGAACTGCCACCGAAACTGAATACGTGACGTGGATCATAAATATATCAGCAATTAAACAACATCTTCAATTTCTCTTCACACAATACGTCTCCTTGCAGTATCAATACTAATTCGGCTGACTTTTATATGTGACCCGCTCTATCGAAATCAGTCGGAAGTCGCAACGGCTAATTTCAAAATAAACGTGGATTTGTGTAAAAAGATAGTTTTTCGGGGTTCGGGTGTTTTGTTTGATTTTAAACAAACAAAGTCTTGGCTTTCAGAATATGAAACTTTTATTTCCAAAATCACACAATAAATACATTTTTGAAGCTGTAAAGGGAATATGACAGCTCTCACTCGCCACTCTGCTGTTCCGCACCCCTGCTTCCCCTCCCTCCGGCTGAAATTATGAATGTAAGGCATATAGTAATCATAGATAACACGGCAGGGTCCGTTACAGTTTGTTTTCATCTGATTTCAATTAAACAAAGTCTTGGCTTTCAGAATATTAAACTTGTTTCGGCAAATTCAGATGATAAATACAACTTTGAAGCTTGTAACGGCATAATTACAAGCGGAGAACGGAGTAACTTGACGTCACAGCAGGCATAACAACAGCCGGTGTTTCTCGTGAGTGTTTTCCCCGGGAAACAAACACAATACACACAAACGCAAAATTACACAAACACACACACACACACGTATACACACTAGGGCTGCACGATATTGGAAAAAACTGACATTTCGATATGAAAACATACAGGAATTGAAGAAAAGACTGTTTTTTCCCCGCAAACCATCCTTTCTTGAACTTTAATACTATACAATTGGTATTTTTTTAACTATATTTAACCGGATGAAGGATTTTAGTCAAGGACGTCTGGATCTTACCAGTGTTGTAGTCAAGTCACCAATTCACGAGTCCAAGTCACTCTCGAGTCACCACTCTTCGAGTCCGAGTCCAAGTCCGAGTCACCAAGGGAGAGTCGTAGTCGAGTCCGAGTCCAAGTCCGAGTGTTATCGGCTGAATCTTTATTTATTGATTAGATCACGTTACTCTGATGATAGTGTTCAAGACAGCCTATATGTCTGAACTCGATGTTTAGAGTAATGTGTTACGGAGCCTTCTCTTCAATATTGTTTCCACATAGAGCATTTTGCGCTGCTCTTTTCCAATGTGGAAGCAGAATGTGTGAAAGCATACAGCACGATGCGGGGTGTGTCTCTAGACATCTTTAGACTGGAATAGCGGGGCCCAGTACGTGAACTCGCCTCGCAGCCGGTGCACACGCCAGGATAGAGGACATCAGACTCCATAGAAAACTTGCTTGAGTCCGAGTCCAAGTCGGAGCGTCAATGTACAAGTCGAGTCCGAGTCATCGTGGGGGGAAAAATTCACGAGTCCGAGTCCGAGTCCAAGTCAGCGTACGCGATAATTCACGAGTCCGAGTCCGAGTCCAAGTCATCGTGTGCGAGAATTCACGAGTCCAAGTCCGAGTCGCGTCAATCAGTGCGCGAGTCCGAGTCGAGTCACGAGTCCCGAAAATCGGCACTCGAGTCCGAGTCCAGGACTCGAGTACTCCATCTCTGCACAAAATCAAACTTCATTATTCAAGCAATTGGTTATAACCTAAACATCTTTATTAAATTGGTGCCCTTTAAAAAAAATAGTATAGTCACTTTATTTTAATACTTTTTTTTGTTATAGGGCAGTAAAAGGGCAGTAAAAGTATAATTACTGGAGATACTAGTATTCGTTAATTTATTTGATAAAATAAACACACTTGTGGTGTTGTGATAAATACATGCATGACAAACTGTTAAGAGAAACCAAAGGGTTGTCATCAACATCATTTCTGAATTATTGGCATGAAGTCCCACAATTGTCTGACACTTAGCTAAAGCATCAACAAAGCAGCTGTCTCTGAGAGCTGCTATGATAATTTGTGATACACAGGGCAAATTATCTCTACCACTATCATACATAGGATTATCCACTTTAAGAAACTGACTAGCACATGGTTCGGCAAAATGCCTTTCTTTTGTTTTCAGCGAATGTGTACAGTTGTGCCGTAAAAGCACTTTTTTTTTACTGATGTTGAGTGGTCTCCAGTCAGTGCAATGCATGTCTCTTGGACTGATTCCTCCACTTTCTTTGCCTTTCCATCAGCCCTGGAATTACGGGAGCAGGGAATGTGATTAATATGCGTGAATTTGAATTGAATGCATTAAGGTTTCCAGATTAAACGTGAGCACTAGCGCACTAACGTTGACAGCCCTAGATAATATGCTAATGCTTCAATACATATTTTCCAGTTATACAATGACAGGGCTCATTCTGACTGAGAATAAATTACCTGTGTATACTTGTTGTAGGAGTAGATTGGCTGATACAAGTTTTGAATGCGGGATCTTTTGCGTTTGATTTAGTTATTGAGGGTAGAACTTTAGTGTAGAAG